GAATAACCTCTATGATGGGCGGGGGCTATTACCTCAGCCAATGAGAAAATTGCCAACACTGAACCAGCAACTGTCAACTGTGACTATTTCAAGTGCCTTCCCTCCAAAGGATTAGGCTTGTGCAGGTGAATGTAGGGTGACAGAAGAGCCTCAGACTACAGTGACATGGAAATGACCATGCTGCCACCGACTGTGGAGTCAGCTTCTCCAGCTACACACCACTGCATCTTTAGAAAACAGGTCTTGGTTTCAGACTCACCGAGCTGAGTTCCCAAAAACAGCCTCAATGGAGACTCCTGGAGCTGAAGGACTTTGCCTGTGGTGGGTATGCCAAGGAAATGACTTTGGCTGGCCGGCCTTCTCACCTACAGTGTCAGAGCCCTTGCTGCCCCCAGGAGCTGCCTCACATTCTGCCCCCCGCCAGGCTTTCATTCAGCCCCCAGGTGCAGCTGTCTGGTGCTTCCCCCTTCATGGCAGCTGGTACCCAGCAGCTGAGCAGAGAAGGGTGAAGGGACATGGTCATTTCTGTCACTCAGGACAGCCCTCCTCTGGCTGAGCAGTTGTCTGGGTGGCTGCTGTGTTAGATATTCGCTTCCTTGCCCAAGTGTGCACTCTGACCTCTGACACCAAGCTCCCTAATCCAGCCAGGCCCTGTTTCTCCTCTTACTCGGGGGGGGAAAAAAATCCAACATTTCAAACACCACCAAACGACTCTGACAGAAAGATGTAATGTTGGAGATGGGTTCCAGGCAGAGAAACAAGGAGCTTCTGGAAATACACCAGAAAGTCCCAAATGGATGCGGCAGACTCGTCCCTACGCAGGATCGTTCTGGCAGAACAGAAAACTAAGGGATTCTGGCCTCAGTTCTGCCATCAAGCCTCAGGAGGCTTTTCCTGCCCCTATTTTGTAGGCAGAGGTAGCAATCTGCCCAGGTGTCCGATGAAGGAAAGACATTATCCCTCTGCCCTGTGCTTCCAGTGGCTCCTGCTGAGGCACACCATGTCCCAGCCTGTCCTAGGGTGAACCACTTGTCCTGTTCTGCCCAGGACTAAGGGAGTTCTCAGGATGCAGCACTTTCAGGGCTAGAGCCAGGAAACTCCTGAGCAAACCCTGATGAGTTGGTAATTTAAGTTAGCCTGTCCCCAAAATATCAAGTCTAGGCCAGAGGTCACCAGCATCCTATCCTGCTCTGGCCCTGACTGCCCATGGTACCTGGAAATGAAACGGTGCCATCTGACAGGAAAAGAAGCCTTGTGGTGAGGGTCAAGCTGTTATGAAAAGCCTCCTGAGGTGCCCTGTCCCATTTTCAGCATCTGTGCTTCATTCTTTCAACAATTCCCTTTCCTCTCAACTACGAGCCTCTGTGCAAAGCAAGAGAAAACGAGAGGAGTGGGGAAGATGGTTCCAGGGTTCCTTCCCTTATGCTGGGGCTCTAGTAACATCCCTATGAATGCAGAGCCTCTCTGCACTCCTGCCAGGCGCCAGAGTTTGCTTTGTCTACAAAGTCTACGTAAGCAAATCATCTCCATGTCTCAGGAGCCAACAGGAGCCTGGCTGTCCTACCTCCCAGGGGCCAAATGACATGCCACCCTAAAGATACCCAAGTCTATCTTAGATGTCACCGAGCCAGCCTCCTCTAGTTCCTGGCCTGTTTTCCAGAGTTGGCCTCTTGCATAATTGATAGATAAAGCAGGGAGTGAACCACCTTGTGCACTGACAGCCTGAGAAGCCACATCCAAGGGCAGGTAGGATGGGGCCTTGAGGACATAGGATCTTGGGGCCAGGGCAGCCCCATCCCATCGTGGGTGTTGCAGCCCCTCCCACCAAGAGTTACTTTATTCCACAGAATTCCCTCAGGGCTGTGTGAGAAGACAGCTCCCACTGACCCCATAAGGCACCCTCAGGACCTTCCTGTTGAGCTTTGGCTAGTTCTGGTATTTTAAAAAAAAACCCAAAACCCCAACTATTAGGAATGCGTCTCTCAGTCCAACATAACCTCTTCTGCAGACTCCAGCCCCTAACACCCAATCCAAGGATAAATATCTGCCCATCCCCCTCCTTAGACAGAAGGACCTTGAGGGCTGCTTGGGAGGAGACTGACACAGAGAGATGGGCTGAATCATGTTCCATCCCCAGCTGTGGACCCAGACGGGCCTATAAAGCTCAACAACAGACATGCTGCCGTCCACGAGCCAGGCGCCGTGGCTGGGCCACCAGAGAATTCCTGCTGGGAGTAGAATCTGGAACAGGCTCTATAGTCAACCACTCCCAGATCAGAGGAACCAGAGGCCTTGGATGCCAGCACCACAGTCTCCAACCCGGGGCTGCTGGGGCGGGGGGGCAGGCTGGGGAAGGCCTAGCTCTCTCCCAAGGACAGTACCTGGCCCACCTCCATGCCACGCCACCTCCAGAGAGCCAGGAAGACCAGCAGGCCCAGCTGCCTGTGAGTCCTCTCTTCCAGCTTCTGGGGAGCAGCTCTGCTACTGAACAGGGCTGGAGAGCCACAATTATCCAGACAGGATAAGAGCTATTTTGGGAAGGAGCTGTCCTGCTGCCAAGGCTTTGACTTCCTAAACCAAAACAAGATGGGGTAAAGTAGGGAGGAACTTGCTCAATCAAAAACATCATATCCTGAAATAGGGGAAGTTTTCCTCCCCAAAGGTATAGATTAGCATCAAAAGTGGAGCAGGAGGCTAGCTGTTGAGATAACCCCTGGCTTTGGGAAGGAGGGGGTAACCTGACCCCTTCAAATTCCAGGCTCACTCCCTCTCTCCAAGAGCCCCTTTTAAGTCTGTTGCATGTATTTGGACAATTTGAGCACAAACTATTTCATATTGTTGTTTCCTGTCCATGTCTTATCTCCCCACCCAGATGGTAAGTTTCTCAAGGCCAAAGAATATGTGTGCTGTGAGGCTTCAATGCTTTCCCCAACAGCACCTGGCAAAGTGTAGGCATCTACATAAAAATTGTTTGTGAAAGGAAGGGAGAGAAGGGAGGGAGGGAGAGAGAAAGGGAGGAAGAGGAGGATTCACTGTCTTGCACTGAGACAATCTCTAAAAGTAGCTGCTCCCACCCACAGCTGAGCAGAGAACAGGGCTGGATAAGAAGCCATGGCAGAGGGGGTGGCAGCCGCATTTCTGGCACCTCCTCTGCAGCTGTTCCATTATCTGAGCTCAGGCTGTTCTGCCCTTCCCCCCAATTGGTTTTTATCTGTAGTCAACTGTCCATCCTAAGCCAGCCCATGGGAGTGACCCATTAGAGGCCATGATAGGCTTTGGGTAAGAGAGATGGCCCGAGACAAATGGAGGCAGGAGAGCTTGGGCCATCTTATCTAACATGGGCCAGGAAGAACTAAAGTACTTACGGGAACAACACGCTATAAAATCAGGACACTGCCAAATTCAGGACACGGGGCTGCGGAGAGCAGAGTTCACCTTGTGGCTTTCCAAGGTGAGGACTCAAACAGTGTGTAACCCAGAAAACCGTCCCCTTTCTGGAGTGCCCTAGGCTGGAGAGGGGACGGCCAAGTGGGGACCAATCCAACCTACAGGCTTCCCAGGCAGCCCTCCCACAGAGCACTGTGGGAAGGATTGGCAGGATTCATCATATGCCAAAAGGTCTCTACTCTTTCTCTCCAGGGCTGCCAACTAGCTCACACAGCGCCTTCATGCAAATTCCCCTCTGGGGAGATGCAGCCTCACAAGAGCACAACCTGGCAAGTGGAGCACAGGCTAGATTTCAGCCCCGACTTGTCCTCTCTGCCAGGTGCTCTCGTGCAGTGAACAAGCTGCCCCAAACAGGGAGCAGCTCCGTCTGTCTCCCTCCATACCTCCTTTCTTCAGAGGGCGAGGCAGGGACTTGGTTAAGGGGGGTGGGGCACAAGGAGACGGGAAGTTACCTTCCCAGGAGCATTCTTACCTCCTCATCTGTCACAGTGGAGATGTAGAAGCCAGGCATTCCCAGTGGGCAGCAAATGGAATTCAGAGAGTGCCAAAAGGAGGGGGAAAAGAGAATTTTACTAAAGACACGCAGTGGACTTGCATATCACCTGGCCCAAATCCCCTCCTACTGCAAGTGGTCCAAACAACAGCAGTTAGCATTTCCTGTGTGCGCATCATTGCCAGGCATTATACTATGCTAAGTGTTTTACATGTAGTAGCTTGGTCAGCCCTCACAAGAACTCTAAGAATCCATACTCGACTAAACATGTACTTTATAGAACTTTGCTCCTTCTGAGGGGCAGGGCTGCCCTTCCCTGCTGAGGGCTCATACTGGTTGCAATTGAATTGCATTCCCAGGGCTCACTCTTTTTTAGGAATGTCCTCAACCCAGAGCCCTGGCCTCCCTCATGCTCTCAGGGCTGCATCATATTTTGGACCACGGCACGTGAAACAGGAACGCCTTGCCACAAAGACCCATATGTAAGGGCTGGCCCTTACCTTCCCTCCCACCAGAGTAGTCAAGATACAAGGGGAGTCAGGGTGTCACCAAGCCCTGAAGACACTATTCTTAAGGACTTTTGAGTCAGCTGCAGGACCTCAAGGCAGAGGCCCAGACATCCCTGGAAATCCTGCTGAGCAGCAGCCAATAAGCATCTCCCAGGTCCTGGAATCAGGGTGTATGGAGGCCTCTGAGGAACCAGAGACACACACAGGGAGACCCCCCCAACCTGAATTAGTGTGGGGTCAGCCCTGAGTAAGACTGTGAAGCAAGTAATTTGTTTTGCTGGGGCTTGTTTATTTCACGATAGGCAAGATCAGCTAAGCTGACAGGCCTCAGGTTTACATTGTTCTCCATTCCAGAAGTGACTACTTCCCATTGAAAGCAGACTCTTAAAACAAAAGGAGGTTCTTGAAAATGAAAAGGGTTCCAGGTCCCAAAGGAATAATTAATGGTAGAATTTTAAGCAAGAGAAGATGTTCCTTTGCTCCTTCAAGTCAAAACCCTGGCATGAACAGTGTCCTAACAGACCTAGCTCTGTGCACACCCTGAGGCTGCCCTACCACCTGGCCTCCAGCCACCCAGACCCCCACAGTGGGCTCACAGGAGGGGAGAGCACAGACCTTTTAGCCACCAGATGACACGATTGTACATTTCCTCAGAGACATCTGAAAGTAACAAAGTGGTGCTTTTTTTTCTCTCTGTGGAATGCACACTCCCTTCCCCCTCCTACTTAACATCTAGCTCCCTTTCTAGCTCCACAATTCTCCACCCAAAGGTACCCTCAAGCCTTGGGTCCTCTCCAGGAAGCTCCTCCAGTCTAGGACTAAATGTCACCTTCCCATTCCTCCTCTCCTTTTTCTTCCACCCTCTGTGCCACTGGTAATGCCATTCCCCTCTTGGAAGCCTTAAAGCCCCACCTCCTCCACTTTGTTGCCAGAGTATTTACCGGAGGGCCTTATTCTCTGTACTAGCCCTTACCAGCCCTCACTGCAGCTCAGTTCTTCATGTCCACTCTCGGGAAGCAGCTTCCCCACCCTGCAAACCACTCTCTACTACCTTCCTTTGAAAGGTTAAGCAGCGTTGCCTGGAAGATTCAATGCCTGACGCCGACCCAAGCATCGTCATCGATGTCATTAGCTTGGAGCTCAGAGAAGCTGGAGGGGAAGGAATGGAGCAATGGGCTCAAGGATGGGTCTAGCTTTGGCACTGGCAGGAGAGCAGCTCTGAGGCCCAGAATGAAGAGGGGGCCTTCCCTGCCCATGCCCCACCTTACTAATTCGGGTTTGCACCTGGGCAGTCTGCTTCTTCACATACCCAAGAAGAAAGCACTAAACCTTTGAATAGGTTCTTTGCAGGTGTACTTGGGGGCCTGTGGCACTCCCCTCAATGATGCCTGGCTTGGAGGCTCCTTTAGTAATTGTACTGGTGGTGTCGCTGGTGCTGCTGGTGGTGATGCACTTGCCTTCTCTCTCTGGAACATCAGATCCTCACAGCAAAGGTTTGAGTCCATTTCAAAAGAAAACAATGAATAGTCTATGGGAGGGGAGGATTCAGCCTCAAAATCAGGTGTTGTTGGCTGGCTTTGGGGCATTTCAACTTCAGTATTGAGTAAGGCCCACCATGAGGACTCAGGCCCATACTTAGGTAAGGACCGAGGGGGTAAGGGCCGAGGGGTCAGTTCCACTTTGGCATGAAAAGAGGGACTTGGGGAAGGTTCTGGATGCTTGAGTCTGGGTAGTGGGGACATGGAGACACTTTCTGAGGTTCTCCTGGTGTGCTGCTTATAGACAGGCTCAGGAAAAGAAATCGTGGAAGCCCTGCGGGGGCTCTCTGATCCTGCTTGAGATGTCACACGGGGAGCTGTCTGTACTGGCTGTGGTCCTGAGCTGACAGTCACTCTGCGGCTAACTGCGCGATCTCCTCGCACTGGGGTCTTTATGCTGGACTCCACTTCTGATGATGCTAAGACTTTTAGGGGGGACTTGGGTTCAGTGTAGGCAGAATGCTTGAGGGTAGGCTCAAGCTCTGCATGCACAGAAACTTGGCGTCCACCATCCACATCTTTAAGGACAGAGAGTGTGAGGGACGAGTCCAATTTCTTGTTCCTTTGCAAGGCCTTGGGTTCTATATAAATTGAACTGTGACAATGTATTTCAGACTCTTGGCCAGGGATCCTCCTCTGGGTTGTTCGAGAGTCTGCAAAGATGGGTTTGCTGCCATGTTCTGGGCTAGAGGCTCTCCTAGATTTGATCTCAGCAGTAGTCACACTTTTTTGGATGGGCTCAGTTTGGACTGCTTTATCCTTTGGGGAAACCAAAGGCCTCCGGGGAACTCTGACTCCTTGTGGGTACAGGACCTTGGAGGGTGGGTCTTCTTGTAAGACTTGTACACTATCATTTTGGTCTGCAAAGCTCAAGTGGCGAAAGGGTTTGGCATCTGAGGCTAATGAATAAGCACTACTGTAACGCCCTGACTTGCTCTCACCCCTTCTTCGTGTTGCTTCCTCTCCGGGTGAACTAATATTCTGCTGCATCGGAAGAGCATGGGAAAACGGTGCCTGAGTTTGCTGGATCTTTTGCTGAAGAGCAGAATGGCGGTAACCTTCTGATTTTGACCGGTTCTTAGTTCCTTTAGGGATGGGTGTTCCAGAGGAGCTGGGTCCTTCTTGCAAGGAGGTAGAGCGAGGATGGTTTGATGTTGAAAGGGGTATGACAGAACGCTGAGTTTCTGATCTTTGATGGGCAGAAGAGCTCATGGAGACTGCATGATTTTGAGGGGATGAGACAGCAACGGACCCATGTCCCCGCTGAGGGGCTGTGTTAGTAATCTCAGCCCCTTTCTGTGGTGAAACGGTGACCTTGGATCCAATTTTATTTGACTTAAGTACTTGATAGATGCTGCCCCTCTGGTTAGAGCCCATATTTTACCAGCTGGCTTGCATCCAGAGTCTTAATAAGCCCGAATATTTACCCTCAGTTTTAAAAGCTGCTGTTCTTGCATTCCCACAAAAGTCGCTGTTGTTCTCAAATAGTCCCCTTAGTTACCTGCCGGTGATGTCATAAAGGAGCTTCCTATTAAACATCGCAGCATATAGCCACAATTCTTCAGAGAATCTCATGCAGTAACTGCAAGAAAACTGGATTTGTCTTTGGAGTTGACACCACCAAGGCTTTGGCCAAGTTCTTAGCAAAACAGGATTTCCTGATGTATAGGCAAGGCTCCATACTCTCCCCAGACTCCAGGAATTCTCAAAGACTCATCTAAAAAAGGAATCAGCCCAAATATCCTACTAAGGCAAGGCTGCTCAAATCAATCATGCTGTGTTAGTCCCAGTCTTAATAAAGTACAAGGTCCAAATTTGTCCCCATTTGGTTTGCAACTGCATTGTACACAAGTCAAAAAATAAAGTCCAACCTTTTCCAGGTTTTGCCGGTTGTTTGGTTGACCATGGGGTAAAAATTCAGGGTCATAAAGTCTCACATCCTTGGCTCAGGAGTGAGAGGAGGACTGTAAAACAGATTTGGAGTTAGTCATGGTTGCAACCATAAGTGACAACTTGTGAACCTTGGACAAGTCCCTTGGTTTTCTTAAACTGGTAACCACTGTCTAGTAGGTAGGTATCATGCAATAAATGCCAGTGTCCTTTCTTACGATTCTCTTCTCTCAGTAATACTGATCAGTTGGACTCTGGTTCTTTATTTCAAGAGTGACTTTGGTCAAACAACTTGGATGACCATTTTGGATAAATGAGACACTGTCTTCTCTCCCTTTCACAGGCGTCTGTCTCTGTCTCTTTCAGACACAGACCCTGTCATACCCACGGTTCACGACTGACTCTGCCTGACAGGTTGTCATGGTTACACCATGGTCAGATTCCTTGTTTCTGAATCTTTAAATTCAGCCTTGATTAGAGACAAGGTTGAAAGCCACAGATTTTTAGGTAGCAGGGATCTCAACTGATTGAGAAACTTTGAGCTACTCATACAAGTCTTCAGAATGCAAAACACTAAGCCATTATACTTCTCCCTTAACTACAACTTAATAGTTAAGCAAGAGCTTGGTGCTGCTGCCGGGTAGAAACAGGTGCCGGGTCAGAAAAAACGAGGTGGAGGCCCGGATCTGGCCCGCGGGCCTTGTGTTTGCCACCTGTGCTCTAAGGGTAAAAAGGCTGAAGTGAAAGTGTTCTTACTGAGTTATAGTTATTGTTACTGTGTCATTGTAAGATTGAGACTGGCCGACTTGGACAAAGCTTTCCTATGAGATTCTACCTTAAATATGATGGTTTACTGATGTGTAACCTTTAACCACGAGACTATAATGCTTATTTGTTTGTCTAGGAAGATCTTCTCTTTGTCAGTTTAAGAAAGAATGAATTTGAATTTCCTCATCCACAAGTAACATTAAGTCTGTTATCACTTTTCTGATCTTATTAAAATCAGCTCAGTTGTTTGAATAATTATTTATAATTTTCTTAATGTTGGAGAATATATATATTTTCCTTTCAGTGTTCAATTTCCATATAAGTAAACATAAAAGGTGAAATGTTACAAAACACAACACAGAATCTTGACATTTTCCTAATTATGAATAGTTTAACTCAAATCAATCTGTGCCTGAGACACATCTGGGTTCTTTGAGGGTAACCCCCACTTCTCTTGCTATCCCTACTAGGAGATAAAAATGCATGACCAGTGTAAAATCTATAGTATACTGTTTTCTTTTGAATGAAAGGCATACAAGTGAGGTATAGGTGACCGGGTACAGCCAGTCTTCAAGTGACCCCTACTCAGTAATGCTCACCTCCTATTATTCATGCCTTTGTACAGTCCTCTCTCATCCTGAATCAGGGCTTTTCCGGTGGGACCGATAGACTATAACAGAAATGATGGCGCATGACTTCTGAGGATAGATCATACAATGGCATTGCATTGCAACCTTTGCCTTGGTCTCTTGGATTGCTCACTATGAGGAAACAAGCTGCCATGTGGTGAGGACACCCAATGGGATATTCTTGTGGAAAGTAGCTGAGCTCGCTAGTCAATAGTGAGGACCAATTTGCCAGTCATGTGAGTGAGCCAACTTGGAAATGCGTCGCCAACTGCATCTTCACGAGAGACCCTGAGACACAACTGCCCAGCTGAACCACTTCTAAATTCCTGACAGAGAAACTGCTGGAAATAATAAATGGTCATTGTTGTTCTGAGTCACTAAGGTTTGGAGCTGATTTCTTATGTAGCAACTGATTTCTCTAGTATAGACTCTCATTAACCAAACACAGAGCCCAATATATAAACCAGAATAGCATGGCCAGACTAGAACTTACTAGTATACTTTGAGACATACAACTGTTGAGCTGATTGGAAAGTCAGGTCATTCTCTCCATATGGACCAACTTCAGTAGGAACAAAAGTTACTTAGTGAACATGGAACGGGTTAAAGAAAAGAATCCAATGATCGCAAGAGGGCGACACCTGCCAAGAGCACCTGGCATGCCCATCATGCACCTACCTGTCCACAACAGGCTTTCACTGGGTGTCCCGTGTCTGTCTCCTAAAGTTTCCTGTTTGTACACTTTACACTAATCATTCCTTTCTGCTCAACAGCTTTCCTTCAAATAAGTTACAATAAAATTAATTTGGTTTATTGTTATTTAGTTGTAATGACATTCTAGTCCTGGTTCCCACTGATCTGACTTTTGAGTATTCCTAAACCACAAGATGAAAACACCTTACTGAGAATTATAAAAAGCTGAAATCACCTGAAAGGACTACTTTACTATCTTAATAAGCATCTTTCCAGATATTTCTGTATGCACTTACCACATGCAGACATTTATTTATAAATTTACATAAATGGAATCCTATTATATACCTCTATTATTCCATATGTTATGGACATCTTTCTGTGTCAATAAATCTATATGTGTAACTTAAATTCTAATTAGTCCATTTATGGTAGTTTCATAATTTAAAAAATTACTGTGGTAAAATGCACAGAGCATCACACCACTTTAACCGTTTTAAATGTACAGCTCAGTGGTATCAGATTTATTCACATTCTTGTGCCACCATCTGTAACTTGTTACCTTGTATATTTGCCATCCAACCATTTTTAAGTGTACAGTGCACTGGCATTAAGTACATTAAAGTGCTGTGCAACCATCACCACTATCTGTTTCTAGAACTGTTTCATCATCCCAGACGAAAACTCTGTATCCTTAAAACAGTAACTCTTCATTCTCCCCTCACCCAGCCCCTGACACCCACCATTACACTTTATTTTTATGCTTTTGGCTACTCTACCTCATGTAAGTGGAATCCTACAGTATTTTCTTTCAGTAACTGGCTTACTTCACTTAGAATAATGTCCTCAATGTTCATCTACGTTGTGGTATATTGCAGAATGTCTTTCCTTTTTAAGGCTAAATAATATTCCATTGTATGTATATACTTTTGCTTAGCTATTCATCCATTAATGAACACTTGAAGTGCTTCCATGTTTTAGCTATAATGTTCCTATGAATGTGGTTATAAAAATATCTCTTGGAGACTTTCAATTATTTTGAATATATACACAGAAGTGGAATTGCTGGGTCATGTGGTAATTCTATTTTTAATCTGTTGAGGAACTGCCATATTGTTTCCTGAAATGACTGTGCCATTTCCCATTTGCACTGACAGCACACAAGGTTTGCAGTTTCTGCACATCCTCACTAAGTGTCCATCGGTAGATGAGTGGATAAAACAGCTATGGTACATTCACACAATGGAATACTACTTGGGCATAAAAAAGAAGAAAATTACAACCTTTGCAACAGTATGGATGGACATGGAGAACATTATACTAAGTGAAATAAACCAGTCAGAGAAAGACAAATATCCTATGATTTCATTCATATGTGGAATCTAATGCACAAACTGAACTGACAAGCAAACCAGAGAAACTCACAGATAGAGAGCAGGCTGATAGCTCTGGGGTGGTGGGGAGAGACAGAAGGGGGATGGAGCAAAAAGGAAAAAGGATTCATGGACATGGGACAGTGTGGTGATTGTGGTGGGGGCAGGGCATAAGGAAAAAATACAATAAAAAATAAAAAGATCAGTTAAAATACAGGACTTCCACCAAGATGGAGGTATAGGTGGATGTGCCGTGCCTTCTCACACAACCAAGTTTAGGGACAACTAAATATTAGCAACGCAAAACACAGCCAGAACACGGAAAATTGAACTTTTTGGAAGTCCGTTAACAACAAATTCTGCAGCCTGACGGGTAAGGGGCGAAACCAGTGGCTGGTGGAGCGGGATTGCACAGGAGGTCTCGGTCAGACGGGCTCAGGCGCGGAATCCAGAAGCGGAATCCAGGCGCAGGGTTGGACCTAGTGAGCGACCCAGCAAGTGACCAGGCAAGCGACCGCGGAGGAGACAGCGGGGAAGCGGTGCTGCGTGTTGACTGGGGTCGCCTATTTGTGCGCGAGCGGACAGGCGAGGGAGTGGGCGGTTCGACCGGGGCCAGCGTCCCCGCGACAAGCGGCGGTAGAGGGCGCCGCCATTTCCCCGCTCTGACCACGCCCCCACATACAGCGTCACAACCCAGTGACCTGGGAGTCCAAGGCGCCGCTTCTCACACTTAAAGGGCCAGAACAGACCAAAATGTCGCAAATTCTCAAAATCCCTGAGCCCATAGACCTAAGCAATGAAGAAATAGCAAAACTCTCAGACGCACAGTTTAAAACACTGGTCATCAGGATCCTCACAGAACTGGTTGATTATAGCCACAAATTAGAGAAACATATGAAGGCGAAACTAATTGAAATGAATGGAATTGCACAGGAAACCAATAGCGATGAAAAGGAAACTGGGACTCAAATCAATGGAGTGGACCAGAAGAAAGCAAATAATGGCCAAACAGAAAAGAGTCAGG